AGGTGAGCCCTTGGTGGCATGCCGTGTCCTAATATACTTGAATAAAAACATCGCAACTCCCAAGATAGAGACTTTAACTTAAAAAAAAATAAAATAAAATAAAATAAAAAAGAAAATTTTTACAAATCTATCTAATTACGTAAAAAAACGATTTACTTATCTTTATTTTACTAAAAACTTTACCATGAAAACAAACTTAAATTATACAATTCAAAAATTTTCTATCCACGAATACGAGAATGGTATATCGTTAAACTCTGATGAAACAAATTCAGACACGGCAAATATCTCCACTTTCCGTCTTTACATCTATCAAAATGAAATAAATCAGATTGAATTAGTCAATACAACACCAACATTTCATCATGTCTCATTTACTGTTCCAGAATTGGTTTATCCAATGTGGAGACCAACTCTATCATTAAAAAGGCTTCTTCATGAGTTTGAAACAAAAATATTACTTGATCATCCCTACATTCCCTGTTGCTATTGCTCAATTTTAATGTTTCGTTCTGCAACCCAATAGGTAACATACGACCCAAGAGAAGATTACACTTTAACCATAGCATTTCCTAACATGACTCTTTATCTTCGACAATTTGCTAGTAAACCCACTAAAATAGCTATATATAATAGTTGCAAAAATCTTAAAACCAGAAAATTTCCTCCCATTCTATCTGGTATACCTCAAAAAATAAGTTTGGTCCTAATGCATCACAGGAAATATCTTTTATCAGTTCATATGATATGCTTATTAGGCCGTCTTCTAGATCAAACCCTTACACTACATATCGATTTTTACAAGGTGATTTTTTCCTGAGTAAAAACATTCATTCACTCGAATTGTATTCTGGCATGATCGGTGCCTTTCTGAACATAAATGAACCAGTACGTTGGTACCATGAAACCCTTCCTGGAGCAAGCAATTGGTTAAAAAGAAACAACCCTATATTCAAACAATACAGTAATCTACCCGTTATTAGTTCCCCATCATTATCAACCCCGTTACCTCTTCCCTTACCTTTAGCAAGACGATCACAAGAAAATACTGACACCACTACATCTATAAATAACTCCAATATCCCCGACATCGTAATTCCTAATAATGCATTTCCTTTCGAAACACACGATGAAGATCAAAGATACAATAGACTTATGGTCAGGTTCATGAAATTAGACGACCTAACTTTACCTATAACTTACAGTGACCCTGACCTTGAAGCGTTAATCTTTCCCGACCTATTTCCGACTGGGAAAGGTCATTATGAAGATATTTACAATTAATTAAACTTTCATTCAAACACAGAAAGTTATAGAAAATACATTAAACTAAGGATGCTATGCCCTGATTTAAGGTTCAGATTACATTGGTACTGGCCACACTGGTCTTACTTAAATCTTAAAAAGAAACGTAATTTTCAATACAGCTGTAGATTGTTAAAACAAAAACACGTATCGCGAAAACATTATCCAACAAGAGCAGAATTAATAGGTATACTTATAAACATTAAACTATGTAAAATAACACCTAAATATGTATAATATAAAAATAAACCCAAATAATTAAACTAATATATATATATATATATAAAATTTCAAAATTTCAATTCAATTACCTTATAAGCCTATTTATAATCTACTCTAACTTACATTCTCATAAAACTTCCTCGTAGAAAAAAGCGTATATACTGGCCAACCGATAATTGACAAATCAAAGACTACCGCAATCTGCTCAAGCTTAAGAACCACATCACCTTACTTTAAAAAAAAAGAACTTCAAGTAAACACTATGCTCTGTTCTTACAGATTACCACAAATTTTCTACACTATAACAATGGCCGAAGATAAATGGATCTATCTCAGAAATATACTTTCAATAACTGACAACAGAGACCCTTTGTCGACCAATTGTCCACTACACATTTATCTTTTCTATAATCACAAGCTCTCCAACATACATAACAAATTGTGGAAAAATAGTAAGTTAACACAATGGGGCAAATTCGAAAACTATTTCGAGTGAAATGAATTCCAGAACAGAGGCACCATACATACCCATGAATTCGCTTACATGAGTGTCAAAATACCAGAACTTATAGAAAAAAAACACAATAAGAGCTGACTTACCAGACCAAACTCAAGAACCTGAGCTTTACTAATTAGTCATGACATTTCAAATTTATAGGTAAGCGTCCTCTTTATTTATCGTTAAAATTCTCTAAATTCAATTTCATATAAATAAACATACCTACAGTTTAATCAAAAAATAAAAAAAAAATAAAAATAAAAATAAAAATAAAAAAAGAATATTAATATGTATATAGATAAATATAAAATAAATAAAAAATAAAAAAAAATAATGTTATCAAAAACACATAAAACCATGTCCATCTAACAATTCTATAATATATAAATTTGAATCAAATCGATCAATCTTATTTACGAATCATATCTTTAATAAATATACTCTCCTTGATACCATAACCCGAAACAAACATAGATGTCATCCAAATAAGTGCGGCGGTCCCACCCTTAATGGAGAACCTTGCAAAAAAGGATTCTCTCAACCCTTATCTGATACAACCCATAGAAATAGCTGATCACTAAGATATATCTACAGAAGAACAAAAGAAGAAGACCGCTGAATAGTGCCTTATCATCCCAAAACCCTATTAATATGGCAAGGTCACATCAACTTCCAATATGTTACCACCACAGGATTCGCAAAATATGTAACAAAATACGTGACAAAGCCTGAACCTTCTGAAACCTTCGACATCGATGATCATGATAATTATCGCACTCACATCCAAGCAAGAAGACTAGAAGCAATGGAGTTGATGATTTTACTTTTTCAATATCAAATAACCAGATCAACAGTCTGTGTTCAATATCTACCCTCTGCATCTTCCCACTTACGCACTAGAGCAGTAAAACCTATCCATCTACAAATGAGAATACAAAAAAATGGAAATGATGATGATGAAAAACTGTATTGGAATGACGTAATAGATAAATACTTCAATCGCCCTACTAACAATAAATTCGTAAACATAACATATCCAGAATACTTTCAAAATTACAATATAAAACTTAAACCCTCATCACAGTCCGCAAGTCAATCTTCTACGAGAGATCAAAAAAACCGTTTCGTAACAAAAAGAAAAAAACCTTTACTTCTAAGATTTGTAAACTATAAAGTAGAAGATGGTAATTCCTAAAATAATTTCATACTTTAAAACTAAACCTACAACTTTAAATAAAAAACCTATATAAATATATATATATATAAAATATAGATAAATAAAATAAAATAAAATAAAAATAAATAAAAATGAAAAAAAACACACTCCCAATTAACCATTATACTAACAAATCTTAGGCGAACCTTTCTTTTTTCAACATCTTATAATGAAAATTCCCTGCTACTCAGAAGAAGAACTCATTGGGACCTACTCAAGCTACTTCAAAAAATTCAAATCCTTATTTCCCAACGAATATGAACAAGAAATTAATAAGCTAACTAACACCACTGTAACTCAAGAGCTTCGAAACTCAAATGCCTATAAAGAGATCATAAAAAAAATATTGACTAATCTAAATAATACAGAAATCTATGACCTAATCCTTAAACAATTAATTATGTTAGAGTGCAAGACTCCTTCTATTGACCCACATCAAACATTATTGCTAAACGAAGACCAATATCCGATTTATGATATTCTCTGCAATTCATGAGGTCCAGTACATAAAGGAAAACACCCCTATTTTTTTTTAACTGGATCAGCCAGAACAGGTAAGTCATACCTATTACACATTATAATCAACCTCTTAAAATCGAAAAAAATCAACCATATTGTAATTGCACCAACCGGCATGGCCACTCAGAATATTGGAGATAAAACTATTCACTCAGCATTAAAAATAAGAGAAACACTTTCACATTACGAAACCTTAATAACACATGATCAAACTGCAAGAAAAAATTTGAAAAAGATCAAAGTGATAATAATTGAAGAGATATCAATAGTCTCTTGCAAATTATTCTCATTCATAAGTAACATGTTTAGTTCGATACATAGTAACTCGATTATATTCGGTGAAGTACTCGTACTTCTAGTAGGTGATCTCTTCCAACTACCACCGATAAACACCCAATATGTGTTTCATTCCTCAGTCTGGAAAAGCTTTTTCCCCTTATTTCTTACCCAACCCAAAAGACAAAGAGACGATCCAAGATTTTATAACCTTCTCCAAGAACTAAGATACGGCTGCCTATTTGAAAATTCAGAAAAAATGATCATTGAAAAAATTTAAAGCTCCAGTCTGGAATACAACACCATTACATTCACTTACCTCGTAGGCATACGAGAAACTGCTAAAGAAATCAATAAAATAATATGTGAAAACCTCCCAACCAACGTATATGGAATCACACAAATAACCTCAAAGGCTGTTGATGTCCTTAACTATAAACCACTCGACACAAATAACTGTAATGCTTTTAACTTCAATCGTTATATGAACTTACCTGACAAAATAATCTTAAAAGAAGGTGCAAGGGTCATGTTCCTAAACAATAAGTTATTTGATCATAACATTTGTAACAGCACGATTGGCATAGTTATCAAAATAGTAAATGATCAGACCATCGAAGCCACATTCTCAACCACCACAGACATCGTCAAACTAAACGTACAAAAAGAAAGAGTATATTTTAATATTAACGGAAACTCAGCTTCAAGATACCAATTTCCTCTCCAAAACGCGTTTGCTCTTACAATTCACAAAACTCAAGAATTAACTTTACCTCACATTTCACTGAATATAGATCATAAAATATTCGCAGAAGGTCAAGTCTATGTTGCAATGAGTAGAGCCCCAACATAGGAATCTATTTATATCGTTCACTTCGACTTTAACTTCATTAAAACAAACAGATCAGTAATAGACGAATACGCGAGATTGAAAGAAATATACAGAAAAGGACTAGTAAGCATGCGAAATAGATAATCTTTCATTAAAAATCATTCTTTAATACAACTATGATAAAAAAGGAAAAAAAAAAGGAAAAAGAAAGATAATCAAATTAGTTTATCTACTCCTTTTAAAGAACTATATGCATAATACATGTGATCAAAATTAAAATTATACATATATAAAAAACTTTTAAGCTTAAGACCTATATTAATTAAAATAACTTTAAACCAAAATGTGAAAAAAAAAAGACAAAACCAAACATTTGTCAGTTTCAAAAATCCAAAACACATTATCTAACAACTCTTAATAAACGAATATCAAATTTGAAAAAAAAAGAATTAAGACAAATTCAATAACTTAATACCAATACTATCGATATCTACCATAATAATTCAAATATATCCTCTAATCAAGTCATTGATAGCTTAACATAGTGCTAGAGCATCACGAATTGCTTTAGAATTGTTAATCTACCATCTTTAATTAAATCATCCAAGCCCACCTATAGCTTCTATAGCTTGAAATATTTCTAAAACATTACACATTGCTTTAGAATCATTTATCTACCATTTCTAATTAAATTATCCAAGCTCACTTATAGCTTGAAATATTTCTAAAACATTACACATTGCTTTAGAGTCATTAATCCACTGTTACAACAATCTACGCAACGTCAAAGCTACCAATCTACAAATTTACAACATAAATTAAAAAATCCTGCCTACTATAAGGAACAAATCAAACACACAGATCACTAAAAAAAACAACAACTAACAGATTCTTTTTCTTTATTTTTTTTTTTTTTAAAAAAAAAACCCCTTAAACAGTTCATTGTTCGAGTAAAGATAAAAAAAAAAAGACTTTCTCTATTCATATCAAGAAACCCAAATACAATCCAAAAAATCATCTACTTTCAACAATACAAAAATGATGAATAATTAATCTATTAAAAATAAATTTACGATTAGGCATAATACATACACTCATTCAAATAAACCGCATCTATCGAATATGAATCAGACGGTAATTATTTTTAACTAAAAACAAAAAAAAAATTTTTTAAAAAAAAAATTAAAGCAAAATTAATCACTTCTTTAAATTACTGTAAAAAAAAAAAAAAAAAAAAAAAAAAACCTTAACTAACAATTTTATCAGAACATAGCTTAATAAATAAATTTCTCAGGAAAATTATTAATCATCGTAATCTATAACATAGTATCAATGACGATAAAAACCAAAACCAAGATAACAAAGGTTTGGAATATTAAGGTAAAAAACAAAGAACACAAAAAGTTTTGAGAAA